TATAATTATAATTAAAAATGGAACCTGTCTACATTAAGGCAAGATAATGGAACGTTAACAAAAACGTTAAATGTATTTCGTGAAGCCTATTGTTATTTCGTCCGGTAAAAAATAAATAATTTTAAAAGAAACTGAAAAGTTCGCAGTGATTCTATATTATATTTTGAATTGCCCTTTTTCGGTGGATTTGAGGCCTAATATATAGTATACTATGTATGCAAATATTATTTGTAAGCTAATTAAGTACTTACTACATGTACAGGGTATAGGGGATTTGGGTTTAGGAAGAAGACCTTCCAACATTTTCGGAACACCAACCACCTTTAGCCAGTTACCATCGTTACACATACTTGCATTTAATTTACGTGTAGCTTCGCGACGTCTCATTCTCATTTGGGTGGCAACAAAGATTGACAAGTCCACGGCACACAAACTGAATCGAAAATGGAAAATGGAAAATCTGAGACAATAAATAAAGCGGGCTAGCCATTAGCCCGCTTTTTAATGCGATGTAAGGTGCAAGGTGCAAGTCAAGCCAACAGTTTTCCAAGCACTCCCAGGTACTTCGCGGAAGGCCGCAGCCAAATTCACACGTCCAGCAATCAGGTGCCAGCATTTGACTTAAGTGGCCATAAAGTAGGCACATCACGTGGCGCGTCCAACGGCGGCGACAGTTGTAGGTGTTAGGTGTTGCGTTGACAGTTTGGCAGCGACGGTCAAATGTGGCATGGAATTCTAAATGACGCATCGCTGCCAAATGACAATCAAAGGATCAGTATATGCGTGAGAGTATTCAGTTACCAGCTTGGTCTTATGGTCTGGGCCACTGTCTGCCATTTCCACTGAAGCGGAACGAGCATCGATTGACATGCAACCGGATTTGAAGTGACTTTACTTAACCTGATGTTTCCGCTTTCGGCTCAAGACTCAAGCCAAGTGGCGATCATTTTGCATGACAAATCGGCGGGTGGTGAGCAAATGCCGAACGAGACCCGATCCAGCCATTAACATCAGCTGACAAGTGACAGCCCGAGTGAAACCCTAGAAGTTTTTTTGCACACACAGACAGCCCCATGCGAAATTTCTCAATGTGAAGCCTGGTGCGCTTTACTTTTGTGGTTTCGAGCGATCGTTAGCGATCCACTCGACCAGCTATCGCATTTCAATGTTGAGACCACATTCCACGGTTTCCAAGGTTTCCAGCAGGCAGCTAGATTTCCATGTCGCCAACTGCATTAGCTATCCATTGGCATAGCCTCGAGCACACTGGCAATCACTGACACTCTCCGCGCTGATTTCTGTGGTCAAGTTGTTTACCTGTTCGAGACTTGACACGCGACTGGACGCAGTTTCATTTTTATTTGTTTCTTTGCAATTCATTTGGGGGCACTCTTTGCGGAAAAACTCAATTAATTTGAATGACTGCATAATGAACGCCAACGTTTCCGCCGTCGGTATGCCGACAAAGCCAACGATTACGGTGACGACGAGGGCGATGGCGATGACGATGACAATGACAACGGACGACCACATCGAACACGTTCCATTCGCTCACGCGCATTTCTATCTTGTCAATAAATCTCAATATCAAAATATGCTAAATGACCACCCGTATATTTATCAAAGCACAATGCCTGCCAGACAATTGTTCAACGGCGAAAAACAACGAAGGGGCGACGACAATACCAACAACAACAAACATAAACAAAACAACAACAACAACAGCAACAACAGCAACATGTCAGCTCGACAAGATGGAAAAACTAAAAATGCAAATAACTGCACGAATGGCAAAGCGGCAGTTGTGTATCTGAGAGATACTCGTACGCATAAATTTACAACAGCCCCGCATAAATGTAAGCGAATACCATTGCCCAGACCCAGGGACCCGGGAACCCGGGGACCAGGTCCCCCCTTCAGGCCGGGGCGGGTCGGGTCGGTTCTTTCATTAAACGCAGCGCATGCAAACAATGAACCGTGTTGACAGGGTTTTTATGTATGATTGATTTAACCTGAATCGCCTGACAGGTACGAACATTTTTGTATGGCCCCGTGTACTCGAATTAATGCTAAGCAAAAGCAAAGAGCCAACACTCGCCAGGTACGAGTACAACGTAATAGGAAACTTCACATAAATATGCTCATGCATACATATATTTGTATACATCTTTTTACATACATATATGTATGGATATGAATGAATATTCCATATGAGCGCCAGAGATGGCGTGCAGGCAAAAATACAAAACTGGAGCGATTTTGAAATTTAAAACTCAACTGTCGATCACAAAGTGCGACAATCAACCAACACACACACAATGCACAAACACTATATAGACTCGAATGTACTCCTACATACATTCCATCACATACATTCTTACATACATACAAGCATTCACATAAATATTCACACAAATGTACTTTGACATTTAAGCTGTAGCTTTTAATATGACACGTCCTATACCGGACCGTAGCAGTTTAGAGCGGCAAACATTTTTAATAGAACGCCTATAGAGAGTTCTACTCATATCATGCACTGAAAAGTGATGTTCGGTCCGTCCACCATTACCGGGCCTGGCGGTTTGGGCTTTGGGAATTTTGGGTTATGAATTTTCCAAGTCTTCTCATTGAGGACGGTCGGAAATAAATTAAATATCTATGATTCTTTGAAAGCAAAACTGGAAATTTAGCAACACGAAGGATTCTGTTTTTATAATATAGGGGCCAGAAGAAAAGTCAAAAGGATACGAAAAAGACATCTCAACAAAATTTAATTTGGCGTAATTTAATTTAAATTAGAGATCTTAAAAAAAAGGTAGTACCCGCAAATGACATAATTATGTATGTGTCGCTCAATTACACATTTTCGTTCTACCATAGCAGATAATAGATATTGAAAAACCCAATTAAAGGAAATTAAACAGTTTCCTAATTTTTAATATATTTTTAAATCCTGAGAACTTGTTCAAATTTAATACGCCCTTCAAAGCTATCGTTATTAGAGCAGATAATCGATGCTTATAATTATAGAACGTTAGGTAGACATAACTGGATATCAGCATATTGAAACCGCTATGTCCATTGTTATCAAATGGGTTCGAATTTAAAACGGCAAAGCAGAGCAGCGGCAGCCTCACCCCGTAACTAAACTGACAGCAGTCGCTAAAAGAAACGCAGTCACGGGTTGCAACAAAAAAATATGAAAGAGAACTCATAGAAAGTCTGGACAGAAACAATAGATTCTCCGTCGATGATACGAAAGACAACTGACGAGTGCCTGTCTGTCTGTCTGTCTGCCTGTCTGTCTGTTGTTCCGCTGCTCTCCGGCAGTCCCATCTACGATGACGAGATGATGATGATGATGATGCTGCGCCCGTTTCTTGCAACCGCACCAGCAACAGCACCGTTCGCGATGGCCGCAGCGAATGCCAGCCAGCAAATGAAATGAGTGAGGAAATTGATTGACAGTTGAATGATTTAATGAGCAACAAGATAAACGATGCCCGGGCTATGCTACGATCCGCTGCGAAATGAATTACTTATTTTCATTTGAATTTGAAGCTCGAAGTAAGTGTGCATTGTACTGCAAGTAGTATAGCATAGTACTATATAGTAGTTGTGCTCCGGCGGTCCACAAAAGATGTTTATCGGCGGAGTTGTGCGGCCTTTTCTTGCGCTGTCATGTGACGTCGACGATGACGATGACGATGACAATGTAGACAACGACCACGCATATTGTGTCAACCACACAACCACAGCCACAGCCAGAGCCACAGCTACAGCCTGTGCCCGCGGTTTCCAGTGGCGGACAGCTTTGGAATTGATAAACTAATGTTAACTGAAGTTGTTGTTCAGAAGAAATAATAAGTTTGCTTCTTTCTATTTATTTGGAATACACCAGCAATGAAAAATTTGAATTGAGAAAGCACCGACATTGGACCAAATACGAATAGACATTTAAAAGATATTTATTAAGCATGAATATTGTACAAGGGTATATTTGTTTAATCTTCAATTCCTATAGCTCATGCTAAGTGTTGTAGAAATTTTATTACATCCTTAAATAAAACAAATATTTTATTAACATACTTGGCTTATCGTTAATGATCTGCAAAAAAGGACGGCATAAAATCAAATACCAGCGCACTTTCAGCGGAAATTTTCATTCAATATAATTCCAAATTGAAATTAAGTTTAACTTGATTTTAATTTTAATTAATTAATTAACATATTGAGAAATTTAAAATATCAGATTGATTTAGTTTTATTTGAGTCACTTGATTCCGCAATAAATAGCATTATAGTTTCAGCTAATTTCTGAGTATTTGTTAATAATAATGATTGAGTCAGATGGGATTAATGTAGTCAATAAAATCTGAATGATTATGGCTTATAAGTATGAACACACATTTCTCGTTGGCTGTGCTATTATTTATTGGTTACGTTCAATTTAATTATGCATTAAAAAATATCTCACATAATTAAATTCGTCCCGCCATTTAAATACACATCTTGAAGCGCAAGCGCAACAATTGCATTGAAATTCCTCATATTCATTGCTTTTATGTCGTTTTCTTTGAGCGACCCCTTCAGATCACCGAAACGATCCAACGATTGCCGCCGGAGTTGGCACTTGTTGTCCCTCCCAGCCCACGCGTCTCTCCACACAGAGATGGGCACAGAAGCCCACAATACACTCGCATTCACACGCCGGCATGCCGGCACGCAGACATGAGTCGGCACAACCTCAAACTGGGGCCTAAGTCGAATATAATTTATGTATCTTGAAAATAATGTTTTATGATCTCCACCAAAAACATACAAGTATTGTGTAAAGAGCGTGCCGAATGGTGTGTGGGCTGAAGAGTCAAAGTTTAAGGAGAGGAGTAACAAATATTTAAATAGACTGACTGGCTGGCTGGCTGGCTGGCTGGAAAACGTATTTGTTCTTCTCTTTGGAAAAGCCTTCGAACACATTTCAAACATTTTCAGATCCATTGCACAAAACAAATTTTTCGTAAGTTCAACAAAAAAAAAAAAAAAACACTGCCTAAAATGCAAGAATACCCACACTGTTTGTAAAAATGATGGCTAAATTTCTACGTACCAATGGGGGTACGCAGCTGGTAGCCCATTGTCTGAGGAGCACGCAGTCGCCGCCATCATGTCTGAGGCAGGGTTCGCCGTTGGTCGCATTGTCGACGTCCCCGCGCCTCATACACACGGTGAACGATCGGGGACGGAAGATAATACCGAAGTTGGTGTATCTGCACAATCCGTGGAAGTATTTCGTTACGAAGCTAAATCTGTGGAAATTGAAGTTGTTCTGGGACTACGACTTCATCGAGTCTGACTTCATTGAGGGCTCCAAGCAGGCGGCCATCGTCATGACGGACATCATAAGGAATCAGAGTGCGGAGAAGATAAGTGAGTACACCACGCCGGTTGGCTTCCAGCAGATCACGCGGGACATGCTGCTTTCACGGAATGACACGCGTCTCCAACTGGTGCGCTTCGAGAAGGAGCATCTGCGTCGTGCCATTCCCATGAAAGTGGCCACGCGTCAAAATTTCGGACGCAAGTACGCATTCATCGACATGTTGTTCGTGGGCCTGCGCAACATCAAGGACTTCGATTCGCCCACCGAGATGGCTGAAATGAACGACATCATCAGACGGATGGATAACGAACTGAAGACACCCACCGATGTGTTCCAAGTGCCGCATCGCATTGTCTTTGCCGAGATTTTCATACGCTTCCGGCGTGACTACACCGCAGACTTGAAGAACCATGGAGCGTCCCATGCTAACTCGTTCGGGCCCTCGACAGCAGCAGGTGACAGAGGGTCGTCAACGCCCGTGTCTGAAAAAAATTCGTCAACGGCTGCTCTGCCACAGACAGGACGCATTCTGCCGCGCGTGGACGATTCCGGTTGGGCAGTGTCGTTCTACAAGATACTCACCTTCGATGTTCTCAACTACGATCCCCAGCCAAAGTCGTTATAGTTGCCCCATCCAGTTAATTGCATTCAAAATCATGTGTTTCCATATTTTTCGGCCCGCCATCTATGCCCGAAACTCAATGTAAGCCGCTTGTGCTGTCGAATAAAAATTTCCAGTCCTTTTGTTTTCTGTCCTGTGCAAACATCCCCAGCATTTCACATTTCTGTTGTATCCCAAGATATGTACAAGCATAAGTATATGTACAAGCATAAATATATGCGGGCCTCTAAAATTTATTGTCTTGAATTGTGCGCACACCTTTTTTCCCCAATTGATTTCTCATTGCCGTTCATTGGCCGTCATTGGCGTTCGCCACAACAACAACAACAACATAAATCTATTGGTAATAAGGCATACACATATGCGTATAAAATTATGTTGTAATGAGAGAGATATTACATGCTTTGATCTTGTTAGCCGTTGTTGTTGTTGTTGGTATGTTGGTTATTGTTGTTATTGTTGACACATAACATTTGTCGATTGGCCCTAATTGGATTTCAAACATGGGCTCGGCCGGCGACTCACCACGCTCTGCGTGACCCAATCAACTCAACTGGAAGATAAAAACGAATCTGATTTCAACTTAACACATTTTTGCATAATTCAAAAATTGTAAATAATTGTTAATGCGTTCTGGGGGTTAGCCGAGAGATGTGCCGACGAGCCGTGATGTCAAAAATAACACGCAACAAATTCCAATTACAATCAATTTTGTTAGCAATTGGTAGAAAATTGAAAATCAAAATAAAATGGGAGATGGTTGAAATTCGATGGCACTACACTATTACCGATTTTTCGCAGGTTGCAGTCAATTCCTATTTAGTAACATATATTTACAGGAAATAATTGAACGAAAAAAAATTGTAAAGCTATAAGTTACCCAAAACCCAATTAACAATTGCACTCTCGATTTTAATCTATTTACAATCAAAAATACTAATTAGGCTAGTTGGGCTATTTGGCATCAATGTACTTACTAACTAAGCATATTTTGCAACAAATATTTAACTATGTATTTCCTTTAAGAAGTCGAGTACAATTGCATTGAATTTAAAGATCATCTTACACTTGTGGAAGTACGATAGCTTACTATATAGTGGGCGTCTGGATAAAACTAGCTACATTTAAAAGCTTTATAGTAAGATCATTGGTAGAAGTGTTCAAGAGCGGGGGGATACATGTCCAAACTAACGTGGACAGGACTAAAGAGAGCTGAGAAACTAACCTTTGCAGAATGTTCATATTTCCACCGGATATTAATCCTATTATACGGCTCAAAAAAATCCAATTAATCCAATTATACGGCTGAAAAAATCTTTACGAACATAATATTACTTGTAATTGTTTATTATTACAAGTATTTTCACTGAAAAATAATACTAGTTGTGCTTAAATTTAAGTTTTAATAATGTAATTGGAAAAGTTTTAGAAATAAGATGAGTAATAAAATGCCAATGACAAATAATGTATATAATATACAAATGCATTAAATATTTGAAGTAATTTTCGTATAATTTTAAAGTATTTTAAAAATGTATAGCTTAACGCGAAAAGAGTATTGGCATCAACTTTAAATATTTTAGAAAACTACGTTGATTGGTTAACAACAAAAAATCAAAAGACAATTGTCGTTTTAAATGCTGTTGTTATTTTTGAAATGCTTAAATTGCTTTCAAAAATGAACATAATTCTTCAAATTAGATCTGTGAGCTAAATTCGAGCTCATCATTTACGTTAATTTCGAATTGTAGACTATCCATCACAAGTATGTATTTAATCTATACTTGAAAACGCAATAATGTTTACATTTATTGAAAATTCATTTAAATGAACGCTTTCAATTTGTGGTGCTGGGTTGAAGAGATTACGAATGGAAGCTATTTGCACAACTTAAACAAACCCGAGCATAAATCCCATAAATCTAATGCCTCAAATAAAAGGAAACAAAAAAGGAGCGACGAAGTGAAATAAAGTAAGGACGTCAAAGGAGATATAATTTAAATAAGAAAACAAACAGAAGCAGCTGTTGCAGTTCTGAGCAGCAGAGTACGCGTGGAAGGCGTGGGGAAGGCGCCAGTAGCCCACAAACACGAACACACACTTGTATAAGCAAAAGGGATAATCTCATTATAATGAAACACAACTTATGCACGCGCAACGCTAGATGGCGCCAACCAACGACTACGTCAGTCAAGTGTCACCATGCCGCTTAAGGAAAAAGTGAGGAGGCAGCGGAAGCGGAGAGGAGAAAAGCTTGGAAAGAAACGGATGACAAAGCCCGACATGCCAAGCATGTTGGAAAAATTATATAAATTTATGTACACTTTTCTTTTTCTTTAGTCATGCCAATCTGTGACAGACGCCTGGTCTGCTATCCTTTTTTTGTACCCTACACCTAATGATTAAACGGGACTATTGATTGTGTGAACAAACGTACTCTAGGAAGCGTATTGGAAATTGAGACTAAATTTTCGATTTATGCGTTTACCTACTAGTTTGTCACATGAATGACTCTATCACAAGAAGCTGTAAATTCAATAGTTTGAAGATAATAAACAAATTACGTAGTAACTGCTTCTGTTACTGAAAGGCTTTTGAAGACTGGCGAGATCCCATTTGAAGATAGTAGAGGTTGGCTTGACATGAAAAAATTAATAAACGGCCACTTTTAATAATACAGGGTGTCTAACAGTCCGGTTGACAATTGCTGTATTTTTGTATTTTTGTATTTTATATTTTTTTTTTGCTTTATTTCCTCCCCTTTCGTATCCCCACTTTGTCTTGTAACGAACGGGTTTTCGCCTTAATGTATAAGATGTCAGCTGGATGGCAAATGTTTGCTGATTAACATTGCTTGGCCAGCAAGGCCAAGGAAAGTGTGGCGAGTGGAAGGCAGCAACAAAATCAAACCGGAAAAACGCAAAAATGGAAAGAAAAAACCCAGCTTAATTTCAAACTCATTTGCAAATATTTACACACAAATATGCGTAACAGGTGCAAACACAGCACAAAAGGTTAACACAATGGGATCCACCGCTGATGCTAACCCGTAGAAAAACGGTCGGTCAAAACTTTTGGAGATTAATTACAAGTCTGGCGTAATGAGCGGACATCCGGCACGGGCACTCATATTTCTTGCATTTAGCAAAATTGAATGAAATTTATGAAATACTTTCGCACACAGCATACAATTTTTCCCACCCACATACGCAGGTAAAACTTGCAATCACAATCACAATGGCGGCGGCGCTCTCTCGTTGATCTTCATTAGAAGTCGACGTTTTTGTAGTCAACGTCTTCATAGACATTATTACTGCTGTTCTTGTTGTTGTTGTTTTTGTAACGTCGTGACTAACAACAAATACCGGCATCTTCATAGCCATCTCCATAGCCACCTCCATTGGCTTCTTTGCTCTAAAGCTTTAAATTTATGGCAACGCATTTGCGGCGCGCGCTTACGGCCTTAATGTCAGTCAGCCAGCCAGGCGGACAGACAGACAGGCAGTCAGCCAACAACAGCAACAACAATGACGACAACAACAACATAGTCTGGCTAATAAAGCGTCGGCGTTTGGCCGTCCTTTATTAGTTCATCGTGCCACGCTTGCCACGCCACGCGTATCATTTACACTTGGAAATTTATCGCCATTGCATATCACGACCACCACACAAGCACCAGCACCAACTCCAGCTCCAGCATCAGACCCACCAGGCTCCTTGGCTCCTGGGCTTGGCCAAATGGAGATGTTTCATATTTTTTGGATGGCATAAAGCTAAAGATGTCGTTTAACACAACATTTAAATTCATATCGATCGCATTTTATTGGATGTTAAGCCAAGCTGCGAATGTGCGTCTGTTGAGATACATAGTTTGGTAGAAATGGAAGAGTGTGTATTGACATGGAAATATGAGAACACAGAGGTTGAACTGTCGATTCTGGTACTTTAGATACATGGATCTATATTTCGCATCTAAACAGGATACTATTTGCTTCGACCTGGGTATTATTAGTTTTATTTTTGCCATTTAGAGATAATGATAGAGATAATAACCAGACAATAACCATACCCGTATAATCCATATACATAGGATATTGTTTTAAGTTTGTTATGTAAAATGTGCATTTTTAGTAAATATAAAAACTTGCAATATAATTAAATTACAAAGGAAACCTTGGTATGTATGATTAACTCATTTGATTGTCCTCATATCCTTTTATCCTCGCATGCTGACTAGATCGTTTGCAATGCATTTCAAGCTTCATTAATCTGAAGGGACACGTTGAGTTTAATTCCATGACCGATACAATTTATTGACTAACACTTTACAATTCAGTTGATTCGCTGAATTCAATATGAATTTTTGAAAAGCAGCCAGGATATTTGGATTTATAAAATATAATTTAAAAGACTCAAAAAACCACATACCCACTACGCCTGATAGCCCGGCCTTGCACAAATCTTTAGTTCCAGTTAAAATCCAGAGAGATATCAGAATACTGTAATACTTATTTTTTGCTTCTAAAGTGCATTTAAATTGCTGGAAACTGGAAATTTAATGCCTCAAAAAAACCTTGTCGTGTTGGCTCACAAATCAATAACTCAACATATGTGTGTACATACTTGTATGTACAGTCGAAATAACCTACAGTGACTTAGCTTTTATTTTTATTTAAACTTAATAGCAATTAATAAATAAAAGATTCATATGCAAGTGCTTCACAAAGAGACAATTTTCTTTTTCGGGAAATAACAATTTAAATTCTTATAATCTGATCAAGATGAAAAACAGCTTATAACACCATGTCTTGTAAAAAGCTGATATCTACAATAAGAAGCGTATATGTGCATATATATGCACACGAATAGTTCACTCATTTATGCAATCGAAGTCTTGTCAATCAAAAATAGTACGTATATTTTAGGTAATTTTGAAGTTTTTCCTTAGTATGGATATTTTATAAATAAATCAAACTTAACGTTATTATCATTATAAAATAATATTTGAAATAAATTTATTGTGATTTTTTATTTAAGGAAAAGGGAAATATATATGTATGCATGTGTATTTTAACTAAATTCCTGTTTTTATGTTTTTCTTTATTATTGTTATTTAATAATAAATGTAACTTATTGTTAAACAT